TCCACACTGCTGATAGCCATTACAGCCAACGAACATCTCTGGAGAAGTGCTTTGAGATTACCAGTGCTCTCTTGGCCCGAAGGTAAATAAAGAGCAGGCTGCTAGCATGGATTAGGTCCTACCTGAGGAACAGGCATGCCCGAGTGTGCTTCCAGGAGCACAACTCTCACTACAAGTCTATGGAAAATGGCTCCCCTCAAGGGAAGAGTCCTCAGCTCCACCCTCTTTAACATCCTGACACTTCAATTGGTGCAACTACCGTTCCATAGTGGAATGTTACCGCTCAACTACTCTGATGACCTTGCACTGGTGGTCCCAAGGAAAAGGAACCTGCTGTTGCGTGCCCAAAAAGACCTAGACTTGGTGGGGTTCACCTGCCAAGAAGTTAGACGCAAGATATCGGCAGAAAATTCAAAGCCCATGATAATTCACGTCCACAAACTACCCACCAGGCTGCGGATACAAGGAATCGATTTGGCGTGGGTAAACAGCTGCCAGTACTTGGGCATCTATATCAACCAACGGCTTTCCTTCTGGAAGCAGAGTACATCAGGAAGCAGAACCTTCAGAGAATCAGGGCTATGTCTGCAATGGCTGGCCTTAGGTTGACAGCCAGCCAAAAGGTCCTGAAAATGTTCTATTTACATACCGTGCGCTCCCCGGTGGACTAAGGAGCACTTGCACTGGTACATACCAGTCCCTCCAGAACCCTGCATTTAGAAGTTGTGCAGAATACCGCAGCTTGAGCCATACTGGGTGCGCCCAGGTGGACCAGCATAGTCGGACTCAACCAGGAGGCCTAGCTGCCCTCTCTTGAGGACAGAATAGGTTTCATCGCTGCCACAGGATGGCCAAGATTCAACCCATCAAGGACAAAACCCAGAGGTCTTCCCGAGGTGTCGGTGGATCTGGATCCTTACTGACATCACTAAGAGACTGTTGTCTATGTCAGTGACATATCATTGCCAGTATAACCGTCACCAAGAGTCCAGGGTGTTCTGCCTACTACACCGAGGGTTCCAAGGACTCAGATGTTCCACGAGGGGTAGCCTCTGGGTGGCGACTCCCTGACCACTGTACCATTCTGCATGCAGAGCTCTACATCATCCACCAGGCGTTGTAGCATGTGATCCAGCGCCCCCCCCCCCCAGTCATTCACCTTGACTTCAAGTCAACGATATAAGCACTTCAGCACAACGACCAAGGAGCAACATACCTCTGATAACTACAGTACAGAGGTCTCTTCACTCATCGAGCAAGGATGGATCGTCAGTATCACTTGATCCCAAGCCATGTCGGCATTCCAGGCAAGGACGCCACAGACGAGGCCGCTAAGACGGCCACCTATGAGATGCAGCCACGTGCCACTGTTCACATCAGCCTTCGACAGTGAACCTTGCAGCCAGGGCAGCCCTGTCCTCAAGGTCGGTCTTATCCGGCTCTGTCTCGCGATGGTATGATTTGGCAACATGCCGGGAACCTCACCCTGCCCAATGAATACGCGGACTAGGGAGCAACGTGTGGCCATTCACCGACTACGACTTGGGTTCATGACCTTAACGTATATCCTCGAGCAACGAAGACGGGAGCTATGCACCCACCGTGAACAGATGGTTGAGCTCCCGTTGGTGCATTACTGTCCTGCCTCGAGGCCCCTATGCAACTGCTTCCTCCCACAACAGACTGTCAGACAAACCCGGGAGGACAGGGCAGCACACCTTGTGTATCTTACAGACAAGACCCTTAGGACGTTGTTGCCGATCATCGCCTGCCACCTTCCGCCTTGATAAAAAAAAAATGTGATGACACTCTCCCTATAGGAAGCCACTGCCGAGTCACCGCATGGAGAAGATATGGGCCAAGACCTATCCTGGCCTGGTCTTGATGAAGCCCACTGTGTGGGCGAAACGTAGTCAATAAAGGATCTCATGATAATGCATGTGTCTATTTTTTCCATCTCGTCGGTATTTTAAACCATTTATCTCCATGTATAAATCTTTAAGAGGAAACTGGACCACCACCTCTGTGAAGTGCCAGATCAATCAGGCTTTGATGCCTAATGTGGGACAGTGGGCCACAGACAGCAACAACCTGGTTGAACAGGCCATCAACAGAAAAGTCCGGCCCCGGGCCGGATCGAGGGTAGGAAACTCTGGAAACTGGTCATGGTTATCAACAGGTTGACTGTTTTTAAAATACAAAAATTGCAAATGCACACCACAAACTCCAGTAACAGTTCTAACCTTCTAACCAGATTACCTTAGAAGTGGTTAGGTCAAAGTGTTGTCTGTTAAACAAAATTAACAGACTATTACATATCATAATCGCAGTAAGATGCAGTAATGCATACAGGCAAGAAGAAATTTCATGCATGACTGTACAGTACACTATTACTAATCACTTTTATTCCCGTGTCACAGTTACACATCCCTCCTAATCAACGTCAGTTGATTAGGAGGATGGGTTGCCATTGAGAGCAGCAGTGTATATTTAAGAATATATGAATTTAAGATTTACTCCAATCCCTGTATGTCACCTGTCACCTGTCACCTGGTGGTGTACAGGTGACAAGCGGTCGACGTGACATCCACACAAATCCTGCTGAGTTCGAAAAGGAAATAGAAAACATGTGAACTCATGCAGTACCTTGACCGGATTCGTCGAATTCTTTATTTATAAAGAAATGCAAAATACCACTAGTACGAACTCTCGGTATCATTTGAGAAAGAGTTTAGATCTAGATGAAATCTCATAGGCCTTAAAGAGTGCAGACATAGCTGCTTTGCATAAGAGGCAGTAGAGCGCTTGCCAAGAATCATTACAAGCCGACAACCTTAACATCCCACATCATAAAAGTCTTCAAAAGGATGATGAGACGCCAAATAACAAATTATATGGAACGGAAAAGCCTGCACAACCCGAACAAGAATGGATCTAGAGGGAGAAGAATATACTTGTCACAGCTGCTGAACCATTTTGATAGAATTGCTTGAGGTGTTGGAAGAAAACCAAAAAAAAAAAAAAAAAAGGCATTTGACAAATGCGATCATGGGGAAAGTAGGCAAATGGATACTCAATTACCTGACAGATTGAACACAGAGTGGTAGCAAATAGAGTAAAATCCAGTATTAGCAAGGCATAGTCCTGGCACCTTGGCTGTCTCTAATCTTCATAGCGGACATAGATAAAAAAAAGTATCATCGCAGTTTCGTATTATCATTTGTAGATGATATCAAAATAAGCATGAAAACAACCTCAGTAGAAGACACAAAAAAATTGCAGGAAAATATAAACAAAGTGTTTCAACGGACACTGGAGAATAACATGACGTTCTGTGGTGACAAGTTCCGACTTTCTAGACATGGAAGGAATGAAGATCTCATAAGGGAAACTGTATACGAAACGTATGAGGATTCCCAAATAGAACAGAGTAAATACATTAAGGATCTTGGAGTAATAAAGTCAGCTGACCTTTCATTCCAAGAACAGAATAAGTCATATACCAGGACGTTCAGGAAAATGAGGGCGAGGATAATGAGAACTTTCAAAACAAGAGAAATAGTGCTTATGGTGACACAACTCATATCGCTTGTGATCTCTCGCTTAAATTATTGCTCGTAGTTGACAGCGGAACCGAGAGAGATATACTCGATTGTATATACTTGGAAGTGCTTAAGGGCCTGGTGCCAAGTCCGCACACTGTTATAACATCATATTGGAGTGAGAGAAAGCAAGAGGCGCCGTGGACTAAAAAAAAGAGAACAGTCCATTAACATATGTAGTCCTATAGTTTTTGACATCTTACCTGAAGATATCAAAAACACTGTCGGATGGATATTTAGGCAACCGGCCACTAGCAGAAACAGCCTGGTTGACCAGGCAAGCACGGAGAAGCCTGGCCGAGGCTGCGGGAGTAGCAAAACTCTCGAAACCCATCATTGATATATCAGAGGTTTTCGACAGACTTTAAATTTAATTAGCTAATACGTAAATGCTCAACACACAAAGTTTAATATATTGCATAAATAGCCATGGTAAGAGAGACCTAATATAACCAAATTAAGCTCTCCAAACTAATAGTGACCTGACCTAACCAGGTCTAGACTAATCAATCCAATCTTAACAAATATTTGAATAAACTTACTTATTGTATTCAAGCCTACTCTAACCTATCATATTTAATTCCATATTTGTAGTTAGCTAGTAGAGTTCTTGGAGAAAGCGAAGGGTGATTTCTAACTTTGTAACGCTTCTAAACTTTCGACAGACAGACTTTAAATAACATTGTTATATGTATTTTGGAACTTCTCTGTGGAATCTATGTAGTTGTTCAGCTCACTCTCCTGTATTTTCCACTCTTATGTTAAATATTTTCTAGCATCCTTGCGGCTCATTTGTGTGTGTAATTTCCAAGTATGAACTCATGTTTTTGTTGCATCCGTGGTAAAGAGACCATCATTACCTAGTATTCTGTATGTCGTGATCATATGCTCTCTTCTTCTTCAACTTTCAAATGATAAATGTCCTAAGTCTCATTCTTCCTAGCTCGTTTCCTCATCTAAGACTAATCTAGATGAATCCTTTTAGTATTTTCATTCTTTTTTCAAGCAATTATGGGGTGGGTAAGACTTATTTAAATTTACCAGTCTTTCAGGTTTTGCCATTAAGCCAATTCACACGTTATATAGTGTTTCAGCAATTTAGTAAATTTTAGATAACCTTTTGGTTAATGTATGTTATTAAACAGGCTCATAAAATCTGTATATGGGTTATTCGGGACCAGGAACACTTCTTCCTCGGTCACAGTGACCGAATTATTTCAAGTAGTAGTTTAAAAAAGCGTCAACGTAGCGTCTGTGTTTAGTGTATGTTGATGAATGGACATACATTATGTGCATCGTCTGGGTACCAACATGTTGCACATGTGTCTTATTCATCAACTTGTTGGTATTTTATACAGTAAATACTTTTTGTCTAATTATTTGTGTGTGTGTTAACAGGTTGGCATCAACGACAACACAGGCAGGTCGTCTTGACAGCTACAGCTTGGAACACTTCGAGCAGCGCAAGGTGAGTCACCTGTCATTGTTCCGCCGCAAGATGTTAGTTCTTGTTCTCTCCCTACCCCCTCAAGGAAGGTTCCTTGATGCTGGTGATGGGCTCTTGATCTAGGGAATTGGATGTGTTCTCCAGTTCTCTAAATTAAACCTGAATACCTTCCACATCCCCCCAGGCGCTGTATAATTCTACGGGTTTAGCGCTTCCCCTTGATTATAATATAATAATAATAATAATAATAATAATAATAATAATAATAATAATTGCCCCCATCATTTATGTCACTTATTGACACTGTAACCAACAGCCTGACTGGTCAGACGATTCAAGGACGGAGGATCGAACCTCATCCGGTCTTTGCATTGATTTACTCACGTGGGTTTACCACTTCACCCGAATTAAATAAAAATTGTTCATTCATAACCAAAATACTAATAATTATGTGTAAGTTTAGATTTGTCTGTGTCTGGAAATACCTGTCAGACACAGCAACATCCTGGGATCTTGATGAAGGTAGTTCTAGAACGCTGGACTAACCTAGAATCATGACTTACTTAACTAGTGGATTTTGTCCACCGATGACGCCGTCTGCAACTGCTTCACCTCACCTGTCTGCAGTATATAAGCCCCACTCTCTGCACATTTGCTGTACTTTTATCAATATCGATGTTATGAACACATCACCTCCATAAAATAAAGATACCCAAATGTTGGACAAGTGACTCATTCATCAACTCGTTGGTTTTCTAAACAATTTATGTAATAAAGATGACAACGTTGCTTGTTCTCTGTGTAGCAGTAATTAGCACAGAGGCCAGAAATAAAATAATTTCAGATGGTGCAAAATATGTACACAAGGCAAGTAAAAGAGAGGCAAGCATTATGAAGACCTTTATGAGAGGAAGATGTTCAGCTTGAACACCAAGCTGATACAAAGCTTGAGGGCCAAGCTTTAGAACATAACATAAAGGAGGAACACTGCAGCAGGCCTACTGACCCATACCTGGTAGGTCCTTGTCGAATCCATCCCCACTAGCAAAAATATTCCTCCAACCGATTATCAGTGTCACCGAAGGAATAAGCTTTGATAACCCTGGATGGAAAAATAAACACAGATGTTTTGCCCACACAGTGGGTTTTATCAAATCATAAACACATCTAATTAAACAAAGTTTGTGTTCATGCGACGTCATCAGTTAATAAGTGGTACTTGCTGCTTGTGTTCTCCACTCACATAAAAAAATTAATTTAATATTACTTATAAGACGTCAGTTTAAATGTAAAGAAATTACTTATGTTATCATAGCTACGTCTTAATGTTATCCTGTTGGATATCTCGAGAGTTATCATAAAGAAAGCTTTAATTTATGTCTTTATAGTTTGTCAGTTCTGACAAGAGTTAAAATTCTGTTTCAACGTTTATTGAATAATGTTGCTTCAAGTGTTGGCAGGTTGTGTGTTCAGACCAACCAAAGGTGAACACTGTGTGCGCTTCGACCTTGGAGAATACATGTTAAGAGTGTGTGTATGTTCATTCATGTGCCGAACATTGTGTGCTCATGGTTGGAGAGTACATGTTGAGAGTTTGTGTATCATACTCAGTAGTTGATATAGACAAATTGGAGAACAAGTATCGATGTTCACGGAAAAATACACGTAAATGCAGTATAATGCACAAACAGATCTGTTTGTCAATAAAAGACCGCATTATACCTCACTTGTGTCCATTTTTCCATCATGTCGGTATTTTATACAACTTATCTCCATCAGTATTCATGTTGGACAGGTCAAGTGTCAAGAGTTCTTAAGTCGAGCTGAGGACATCGACGCTGCTTCTCTCTCCTCAGACGACCTCATCAACCTTAAGATCTTCAAGTATGAGATGACTACATTTCTGGAGAACTCCCAATATATAAAGTGAGTAATTACAGTGGTGTGTAGCGATGCTTGTGGGGAGGAGGGTTTTTTGGTGGTGAGTAGTGGTAACAGTATGGTGGTAGTGGGTAGTGATGATGGTGTTATTATGTCAGTCTCATCCCTTGGTTACTGTAACTTCTGTCGTGTTATGTCAGTCTCATGCCTTGGTTACTGTAACTTCTGTCTTGTTATGTCAGTGTTCACCAGGCAACACGAGTGCATCCGCCTTCCCTGCCTCCCTCCCTCGCTGCTGCTGCCTCCTGCTCCCTCTCCTCCTCTTCTTCCTCCACAACAACAACAGCAACTCCCTTTTCCACATAGAACGAGGTTGAGTTGAGCATCAGAGGCAACACCTGGGATCCTACTCTTCTAAGTTACAAACTAAACTCTTTGTTATCGTAATAGTATTTAACTTAATTGATGCCAGTGACCTTGAATTTATGATTTACTACGACACCTCCCTGAATGAAATTGACTCGCATAATGGCACTAACAGCTTTCTTAATGGAGCAACCATATATAGTTGTTAAAATATCGGAAAGTTATTAATGGCCACTTCTTATGGCAGAGCACCAAAATAAAAAAAAATATCTTTAATGAGAGAGAAAAGTGTTAAAGTGGTTAGGAATGAGTTGGAGTTGTGAGGGAAGTACTGAACGCTGAGGGAAGAGTTGAAGGTTATAAAGTGTTGAATGACTAGGAAGAGTTGGAGGTAATTGTGTTTACTAATAACGACGTGATTTATGTGTTCTGAGCTTCTGACAAACAGGCACGCACACGCACACGCACACGCACACGCAGGCATACACACACACACACACACACACACACGCGCGCGCGTAGATTAGTGTTTTGTTAGACTGTGTCACACAGAAACTACTGGGATATTACCACCAAAGTTCTGCTCATCTAGCTACAAATTGGTAATTACACTGTGACCAGACGACACGGCACATGATAATACAGTCAATTCGCCCAACCTATTGTATCATATATTGTTGTGAAATAATGACTGTTTTTACTTGCATGCGTCAGGTACTTCCCTCCCGTCACCTTCCTGGCAGGACCTCAGCGAGACTTCAAGGACATTGTTGAGAAGGAGATGGTTCTCAGCTCTTACAACGATTACCAGAAGCTACTCTCCAGGTACGTTAATGTTAATTTATTCATCGAGGGAAGAATCAGTGAACGAGGATCCTGATCGTCAAGAGCATCTTCAAATCAAATGTCATTGCATAGTAGTTGTGCCTCTAACAACACTATTTACTCAGTACAGATGTAATGGATGTGATAGGACACCTGTCTTTCTTCACCGCTGGTACATCAGAAACTCAATGACTCTACGGACTCTACCATTTATTCTCAAATATGGAATTGAGGGCAGAGTCGGCAGAATCACTGTTTCTAATGTCTGTGGCTAGCTGAGATGTCAGAATTGAGAGTTCAATTTTACAAGGTGACGTAAGATTAAAGGTGCTGGTATTATATGTGTATTTATGTGTATGTATATACTGTACATGTGTTGACAAAATTCCCCTTTGCCTGGTGTGTCACTCTTAAATTTTACTTGACATGTGACCTCGACATGTGACCTGACTAAAAACCTCACAACACTGGGGAGGAATTCCCAGGCTCAGTGAGTAGGGTCATATGTGTTGTTTAATGTAAGGTCATATCTTATCTTTGTAAATTTTCTGATTATTCTTACTGTCCCTTGATGTGGTCCCAAGATTAACAGGTCCAGCGCTTTACCACTGAGCTACGAGACTTCTAATGGGAAAGTTTCACAGGAGGCACTACTGTGTACTGTCTGCGTCAGTGGCTATGTCTGCAACCCTACTGTTCTTTTCCACAGCTCTGTAAGCTCTCACAGTAAATCTATCATTACCTCCCTCAAAGTCACAGTCTTTGAACTCAGTTCAAGCCGTAATGAACGACTGTCGACGAATAAATAGAAAGGTGGACGGGGAACTCGAACCGTGGTCTCGAGAACCGTGATTCTGAGAACCGTGGTCCCGAGAACCGTTGTCCCGAGAATCGTGATTCCGAGAACTGTGGTCCCGAGAACCGTGTTTCTGAGAACCGTGTTTCTGAGAACCGTGATCCTGAGAACCGTGGTCCGAGAACCGTAATCCTGAGAACCGTGATCCTGAGAACCGTTGTCTCGAGAACCGTTGTCCCGAGAATCGTGATCCCGAGAGCCGTGGTCCCGAGAACCGTGATCCTGAGAACCGTGATCCTGAGAACCGTGATCCCGAGAACCGTTGTCCCGAGAATCGTGATCGCGAGAACCGTGGACCCGAGAACCGTTGTCCCGAGAATCGTGATCGCGAGAACCGTGGACCCGAGAACCGTTGTCCCGAGAATCGTGATCCCGAGAACCGTGGTCCCGAGAATCGTGATCCAGAGAACCGTTGTCCCGAGAATCGTGATCCCGAGAACCGTTGTCCCGAGAATCGTAATCGCGAGAACCGTGGACCCGAGAACCGTTGTCCCGAGAACCGTGATCCCGAGAACCGTGATCCCGAGAACCGTGATCCCGAGAACCGTGATCCCGAGAACCGTGGTCCCGAGATTAACGGGTGTTAATCTCGGGATAATTTGTTTTCATTGATAAAGATGTTAAGATTTTTATTTTTGGACCAAAACTTAGAAACCTCGCTTAAACTAACGCATTTTTTTTTAGTTAAATTTTGTTATATATGTCATAGGTCAGTTTAAATTTAATATTACTTACATTAGATTAGATTTTGCTCCTAAGTGGCTAGTTTATTGTGCACTCCATATCCATCCTGTGGAGGGCAGCGTAAGATCATATGGATACACAATAGGCCTAGGAACTAGGCCCCAAAACGGTTTATTGGAGTACATCTGGATTTATATCTACAGTTCACTTATCTGTTACTAGCAAATTTAGGAAATTTGCTTAATATATCTGGTATCTTATTTTTATTAATGAGATATCTTGACATGTCACATAGGTTATTATACTATCTCTATATTTTCCCTCAATAAGTGGACAATTAAGCACATAGTGTTCAAGATATTGGTCATAGAACTGGCCACATACTTTGCATTTGGTTTGATCATCATGTGTATCTGCCAGACTGCCAGAAGTATTTGAAACTAAGCCTAAGCCTGGCCACTACAATATTAGCCAGTGTTTACAATGCAGTTGCTACATAAATGTAGTAAGTTTCTGCCGAAATACATCTAGTTATTTTTTTTATGTGGGGACTTTGGGGGGATAATGGAAATTTTTGCTGCCCTCCTTGGCTTCTCTTGGCGCCACTCCTGCTCCGTCAGGATTTCCTGCACCTGTCAGCCTGTACACTATCCACGGCTGTCAGATACATTTCATTTACAGTGAGACACTAGGAATGTAGTAAAGGATATATACAGTACCACTAAGTTTTCCCTAGTGTTGTTGGCGGCTTCTTTCTTCTATTAAATATAGTGATTAAGTCATTGTAATAATTCGTTAATCTATTTTTCATTCCTCATCTTTGTTTAGACAAAATGTATACAGCTGTATTGTGCTGCTACATTGCTCAGTAAAACACTTTCCCTTTGATGGAATGTCTTCATGCTGGTGAAGAACTTGTCTAGTATTCTAGAACTGCCCTCAGCCCCAATCCCTTCCAATCCTCGGGTGCCTTATAATATTACAAGGTTAGCTCTTAAAAAATGAATAAGTATATTGTTGTAAATGGTATGATTATTCCAACAAGATGTGGACAGAGACTCCTAATTATAGGATTGAATATTAAAGGAAAAGATTTGCTGTTAATGGCTTCTTCAGCCCTAATACAGAGGAACATGTACAGGTGACAGGCAGGTGACATTACACTAGTGGGTGGAGGAGGTAGCAGTAGTGCTGTCAGAGTACTGTAGTAAGTTGATGTTGGTATCACGTGACGGCCGTCTTTAATATGGGCAACATCTTTTCTGCCAAGAGTTTGAAAATGCTGACACTGCCAGACTTTAGCGGAATGGTGTTAGTGACAGCAGCTAAAATGGCCTTCACATGTTTTCATTAACATAAATAATTTTCATGAGTGACCAACTTGGCCTTATTCCATATCATAAGAATCCTTGACTACAAATACACCTACAGGAGGATATTATGTGTACTCCAGCGTTGACGAAAATGTATGCAGGCCACGAAAATGACTGTCACTATCATAGTTCCACAGAAGTCAGGCAGTTTCCTCGTTTCTAATATCTTTGGCAAACATAAGTTGCTCATACAGGAGATGAGAGTCACGTGATACATACTTACTTCTCTCATACCTTTAATACTACTTCCTTCACCCTCTCTCTTCATGCCATTTAGATTTTCCCAATAAATATGGTCCCTTCTTACTGGTCTCTGTTTTAGGATTGAAAAAACATTGGTTTCCTTTAATAAATGTCCTTAACTGTACATAAGAATAAATATTTAATTAAATAAATTCTATAATCTCTTAAGAGAACAGGGCAGGGACTAGCTATGCTTAGGAGAACAGGGCAGGAACTATCTATGCTTAGGAAAACAGGGCAGGAACTATCTATGCTTAGGAGAACTGGGTAGGAACTAGCTATGCTTAAGAGAACAGGACAGGAACTAGCTATGCTTAGGAGAACAGGGCAGGAACTAGCTATGCTTAGGAAAACAGGGCAGGAACTATCTATGCTTAGGAGAACAGGGTAGGAGCTAGCTATGCTTAGGAGAACAGGGCAGGAACTAGCTATGCTTAGGAGAACAGGGCAGGTACTAGCTATGCTTAGGAGAACACGGTAGGAACTAGCTATGCTTAGGAGAACAGCACAGGAACTAGCTATGCTTAAGAGAACAGGGCAGGAACTAGCTATGCTTAGGAGAACAGGGTAGGAACTAGCTATGCTTAGGAGAACAGGACAGGAGCTAGCTATGCTTAGGAGAACAGGGCAGGAACTAGCTATGCTTAGGAGAACAGGATAGGAACTAGCTATGCTTAGAACAGGGCAGGAACTAGCTATGCTTAGGAGAACAGGGTAGGAACTAGCTATGCTTAGGAGAACAGGACAGGAACTAGCAATGCTTAGGAGAACAGGGCAGGAACTAGCTATGCTTAGGAGAACAGGCAGGAGCTAGCTATGCTTAGGGGAACAGGGCGAGAACTAGCTATGCTTAGGAGAACAGGGCAGGAACTAGCTATGCTTACGAGAACAGGACAGGAACTAGCTAGGCTTAGGAGAACAGGGCAGGAACTATCTATGCTTAGGAGAACAGGGTGGGAACTAGCTATGCTTAGGAGAACAGGACAGGAACTAGCTATGCTTTGGAGAACAGGGCAGGAACTATCTATGCTTAGGAGAACAGGGTGGGAACTAGCTATGCTTAGGAGAATAGGACAGGAACTAGCTATGCTTAGGAGAACAGGACAGGAACTAGCTATGCTTTGGAGAACAGGGCAGGAACTATCTATGCTTAGGAGAACAGGGTGGGAACTAGCTATGCTTAGGAGAATAGGACAGGAACTAGCTATGCTTAAGAGAACAGGGCAGGAACTAGCTATGCTTAGGAGAACAGGCCGGAGCTAGCTATGCTTAGGAGAACAGGGCGGGAACTAGCTATGCTTAGGAGAACAGGGCATCAACTATCTATGCTTAGGAAAACAGGGCAGGAACTATCTATGCTTAAGAGAACAGGGTAGGAACTAGCTATGCTTAGGAGAACAGGGCAGGAACTAGCTATGCTTAGGGGAACAGGGCAGGAACTAGCTATGCTTAGGAAAACAGGCAGGAACAATCTATGCTTAGGAGAACAGGGCAGGAACTAGCTATGCTTAGGAGAACAGGGCAGGAACTAGCTATGCTTAGGAAAACGGCAGGAACAATCTATGCTTAGGAGAACAGGGCGGGTACTAGCTATGCTTACGCAGGATTGTTTTCCTTTTATACTCCTTCACAAATGATGAGATTCACACATGAGATAATGCAATCTGTCAGCCTTGACTGGGAAAATTCAGTTGGTCGATGAGAATATTGTTCAGTATTTGACTACAGGTTCGATAACAATGGAATTTATTAAGGTTCGTTCCATTGGGCTTAATGTTACTTTTACTTATGCAATATCATCTCTTTGATGGTTTATATCTCTATGGTATACTGTGGCAGTGAAT